GGGGGGGGGGGAGACCTCTGGGAAGGGGTCATTGGTCAGAAGAAACTGTAGCTTTAACTGTAATTTGTGACTTTTCAAGGGGAAAAAGTCACACATTTGTGACTCACACATTTAAATAAACAGTAATTTTAATTAAAGAGACAGGTTTGGGAAACACTGAGAAGTATACCGTTTTCTGGGAGAGTCTGAGCTCATTGCAGAGATTCATGGAGGCCCTGAGGAGTGCTCCAGGGAAGGAATCTGTTTGGCCCAGAGTTTCACAAACTGAATTGACCTGGGAACCCCGTCTCTGAGAAACACTTACTAACTTACCACTGAACTAGTGTCCTGCAGGAGGGGAACAATGAATGGCTGAATATAGAATCCCTTAAATCTGATGTTCAGAGGGGACAACCAGAAACTGGTGGGAGAAAAACCCCTGCTTCCCACTGGTGACAAGCTAGAGGGCCTTGGAGAACCTGAGAACCTGGCTCCTTAGCCCCAGAAAGGGCCCAGGGTCATGCAGGTCAGAGGGAAACAGACCCAGGAGTGACTGAGGATTTAGGATGTCAGCTTAGGACATCCCCAGTATGAGGAGCTCATTTAATCTCAGGCTGTATTAAAAGAGGTCAAGTGTCAGAGGGAGGGAGGTGACTATTCTACTATTCTCCCATTTCCAGAATTAGCCCTGCTTTAGACATCATGCCTGGAGAGGGGCAAGCAGAATGGAGAGAGGTCAGGAATCCAAGTTATGAGCAAGAAGACTTGGAAGAAATTAGTTAGGATAAGATCTTTGCCTTCAACATCTACAGGCTGTCATGGGGCAAAGGGAGTGGATGTGTTTGGAGCGGGTTAAGGAAACAAGGAGTAGGGGTTAGGGGGTAACAGGCTGTCCTTCAATACAAGGAAGAGCTTTCTAAGGGCGCCAGGAGAAGGGGTGCGCATCTGCCTCTGGAGGCAGCAAGCAGAGGCTGTGCTTTCGTAGATAAGCTCAGGTACGGGCATGGACTCCAGACCCCAGAGAGGAGACAGGACCCAGCCCCGGGGGTAGAAAGACCTGGTTCTGCTACCTCTTTCCAGCTGTGTGACACCAGGGAGCCTTTTTTATTTTTTTTAATTTAATCCTTACCCAAGAACAATTTTTCCATTGCTTTTCAGAGAGAGTGGAAGCAGGGGAGAGAGGGAGAGAAACATCAGTGTGAGAGACACATCGATTGGTTACCTCCCGCTCGAGAACCATCCGGGCCGGGGATCGAGCCTGCAACTGAGGTACATGCCTTTGGCTGGAATCGAACTCGGGACCCTTCAGTCTGCAGGCCGTCGCTCTAACCACTGAGCCAAACCGACTAGGGCCCCCAGGGGGCCAGTTAACCACTGCGAGCCTCAGTCCCCCGGCTGTAAAGCGGCAGAACTCCTTCCTCACAGCTTTTGGGGAGGATTAGGATGTGGAAACACCTCCCTCCAAGGCCTGGAACATAGTAGGTGTTCAAAAACCGGTACGGATGATGTGACTGTTGCCGCTGCTACCCGCGCTGCCATCACCATCGTTAATTCTGCTACTGTTACCACCGCGGTCACTCCTGCCACTGCTCTCTGTCGCTGCCACAGCTGCCACGACTGGCGGTGCTATCGCGTGGCCGCTTCTGCCACCATCGCCCCCACTATTCCCAGCATTCCTGCTGCTCTGGTCCTTAGCATTCGGCCTCAGCCACTCTTGCTCCCACCACTGGTACTTTGGAATCTGAATGGCCCAAGGTTAAATCCTGGCTCTACCCCTTACCAACCATGTGGCCTTTGGCAAGTTATCGAATCTGTGGCTCATCTGTAAAATGGGTGTAATAAAAACTGTGACCGGCAATGAGATTATTGTGGGGATTAAAGGTGTTAATAACTGCCAAGCGCTTAGGAGAGCGCTTGGTTCGTTGTCAGCTCTGGATAAACGTAAGTAAGTAAATCCTTTCCCAGCATTACACTCCTCTCACGGCTGCTGCACTCCCCCTGGTGGTGTTGTTACTGTTATTGCTGTGATTGTTATCACAGTTATTGCCATGCCCCTGGTAGCGTTGTCACTACTGTTACTTGTCTGGCCCCTCGCTGGGCTCGGCACCGCGTCTGCTGCCCCCCGGGCGGAGGCCTGCCATGCTCCCTGGGACCCGGTCATGGGAGCCCAGGCTGAGGGGCCAAGGCCTGGGTGGCAGGACACGGAGAAGTGACGCCTTGCCCTGGGTGCTCGGTGCAGACGTATGCTGGGGAGTTAGGATGCTGCTGGTGACTGGCCAGCTCCATTTCACCCCAAACATGCCTGCCCNCAGCCCCCTCCCCCGCCCTTGCCACGCGGAGCTCACTCTGCCCTTGCCGTCTCTGGGCTACTTCACGTCCATCCACGTGAACCACGCACCACTGGCACAGAGCTGGCAAATGTTTATAGTCATGTTACCAAGGACCCTTGCCATGAGGAGTGTATTCAGGGAATAAATCACGAGGACCATCAAAATTCAGTAAGTAGAGCAGGGGAGCAGAGTGGGTGGTGGGCACGGCCAGCTTGGGGCTCAGAAAAACCGAGCCGATGCTTGGCCCTCCGCCCTACCTGCACCTCGCTCGCCACTCCCCCTGCTCCCCAGGCGCAGTTCCTCATCACCAAAGGGGGACGATGACAGGGTGTTGGAAGGACAAGAGAAAGCAGGCAAACAGTAATGTAAAACTATACTATTATCTAAAAATTACCATTTTATATTAAACGACAAAGATAGGTCACATAATGTGGCTCAGACAATCTGGCTAAGTAATAGCCAAGGCACCGTGTTCCTTCTGTCATTTTATAATTGCCTTATAACAGCTCCCCCCCCCCTTTTGTCTCATCGATTTATTTGCTCCTTCCTTCATTCATTCATGGACTCAGCAAACATTTATTGAGCACTTTTCTAAACCACAAATAAGACAAGCAAGTTCATGGCCTTGCAGAGCTCATGCTGGAAATGAGTGGAAGACACAGACAATAAACAGACAAATAAATAACAAGGTTTATTTATTTACTGAAAAGTGTGAGGGCAATAAAAGAGGAAATGATAGGGAACATCTCTGTGAGGCCTCTTTATTTATTTATTTTTAAAAAAAAAATTTTAATTGACTTTTAAAGAGAGAGGAAGAGAGAGGGAGGGAGAGAGAGAAAGACCCAAGTGAGAGCAAACAGCACTCTCTCCCTGCACACCCCCTACGGGGATGGCGCCTGCAACCCGGGCATGTGCCCTGACTGGAAAAGAACCAGCAGCATTTCGGTGCCCGACCAACTGAGCCACACAGGGCTCTAGGAGGCCTCTTTAGATCGGGTGGTTGGGGAAGGCCTTTCTGAGGAGGTGATGTTGAACCTGGGGCCTGAATGACACAAAGGAGTCAGTCGTGCAACACTCTGAGGAAAGTGTTCCAGGCAGAGGGAACAGCAAGTGCAAAGGTCCTGAGGCTGGAATGTGCTTGGAGAGAATGAGGCACTTGCAAAGAGGCCAGTGTGGCTGGAGATCACAGGCAGGGGAGAGGATGGTATGTGATGAAATTACCACATCTTGGACAGCGAGTGAGGAATTTGGACTGGATTCTAAGGGTGATGGGAAACCATGGAAAGCTTTAGGCAGGAGAATGACGGGATTCAACTTAAATGATCCTACTGGCTTCTGGGTTAAGGATGGACTGTAGGGAGCAGGGCGGGAAACCCTGTCCACTGCAGTTGTCCAGGCATGAGATCATGGTGGCCTGGCCAGGGTGGTGGCTATTGAGATAAGAAGCAGACAGATTGATTCAGGGCCATTTTGGAGGGAGAGCTGATAGACTGTGCTGATGGGTTAATCAATTAATTTAAAAATACGTAGAGAAAACATTACCTGATAAGAGTCAAGTTTCATTGTAAAAGTGGTAGAAATATTTCCTTTCTTTTCTCAAAATGTGCATGTGTATTTGCTGAGGAGATAGGCTGTGAGCAGCCACATAAGGAAGTCATTGTTTTCTCTCATCTCTGTACAATTGAAATTTTCTCCTAAAACAGTTAGAACTCAGTTATACTTGTTAAAATAAACATGTGTTAGTGGTTTAAAGGGAAAAAAATTCAAATTCTTAGGCTTAGGGGAGTTACTTGAAAAAAATTCTTTCTANTCTGACTCCCCCTTCTACCTCCACTCACCCGCTTGCCAGTGGACGTGGGATCCGGCACATACAGGGGGCTCTGTGGGTTGGCACTGGGCTCAGTTTTCGAGACCTTGCCTCTGTCCCGGAGGAACTTGGACTTCACGCACCCCATCCTGCGGCAGAGAGAAGGGAGGTGAGCCCTGCCAGCCCTGAACCCCACGCAGGGGAGTCTTCGATGCTGGGTTCCAGGCATTGCGCCCCCAGGCTGGCTTCTCCTCTCCCTCCCCCTCTTACCTCCCCGT